AACAACATTTAGAGTTGTAGATGGGCAAAGGTTAGTAAGTGTAACAGTTACTGGTTTTTCAGTGTTATATAGCCATCTGCCACAGCGCTGTGTGCCTGCAAAGCTGGTAAACTATGTTGCACTAAAGGGCGGTTATACTGGCTATACAGTTACAGATACAGAAGACGTCCTTAGATGTCAAAGGAGAGGCTACAGAGACTAAACATTTGCAGACCATCTAGATATATTCAGCTGACATTTTGGTGACTGTCTATCACCTTCCTCAGTGCAATGTAAACCAGTCAGAATTTCCCCAAGGAAGGTGACAGTCACTGAAATGTAAGCTGAATAAAACACTTGGTTGTATGCAAAGAGTCTCTTCATTCAGTGACTTACCAACCTGAGGAAACTATGCAAGGATAATGGTTGTTATGTTTAAACCCTTCCCCAGCTGTTTGAGGCTAACACAATGGCAGTGATTAAGATTTTACACTGCTGAATGTACAGTTCTCTAATTAAAACCTAACGGTTGTTATGTTTGAAACCTTCCCAGCTATTTGAAGCTAACACAGATGACAGCAGTGTGGTAGAGAACTACCTTCCTGCTGCAGTCCTGGTGAGGACAGTCCGCCTGCTGCCCACAGCCTGGCACACTGGCATCAGTCTCAGGGTCGAGTTCAGGGGATGTCCTCGTGGTTAGCGCTCTTTCTTCATTTTACTTACTTACTTGGGCTCTTGGCTCCACTTATTTTTATCAATGCCCTTTACTGAGTGGTTTAAATGTCTTGAGCCTTGTAGCTGTTGTCTCAGGGTTGAGTTTAAGGGATGACCACAGGGTTAGTACTCTTTCTCCTTTCTCTAATCCTTTATTTGCCATGGTTTCTCTGAACCACAACCTTCCAGAACCATGTACATACTTACATGAAGACATAATATATGCAAAAACATTCTTGAGTAAACCATCTGAACTGGGCACAGATTGGAGGAGGTTGTGCTGAGAAAGGGGCAACAAAACTGAACACAAATTTTGTTATTCCATCAGCAGTAAATTCTAGATGTCAAATCCATATGAATAAAACATTTGTATAAAATCTTATACCATGCATAGCAATACAGAATCTGATGTCTTTTTATTGAAAGTTAATGTTTATTTGTAATGTATTTAACTCCCAGGTGCAGCCACTACTGCCTTGCCTGTTGCTGAAACAACCCAGACTGTGTCAGAAGAAACAACTGTCTCCATGGAGAAGACCACACCATACTCTCCAAAGGAAACAACAGCCACAAGCTCTGCACAGACTACGTACTATGTGCCAAAGGAGACTACAAGCATCAGCTCTGCGGAAACCACACCATCTACACCAAAGGAGACTACAAGCATCAGCTCTGAGGTAACCACACCATCTGCACCAAAGGAGACTACAGGCATCATCTCCGCAGAGACCACACCATCTGCACCAAAGCAGACTACAGGCATCAGCTCTGCGGAAACCACACCATCTGCACCAAAGGAGACTACAAGCATCAGCAATGCAGAGACCACACCATCTGCACCAAAGGAGACTACAAGCATCAGCTCTGAGGAGACCACACCATCTGCACCAAAGGAGACTACAAGCATCAGCTCTGAGACCACACCATCTGCACCAAAGGAAGCTACAAGCATCAGCTCTGCAGAAACTACACCATCTGCACCAAAGGAGACTACAAGCATCAGCAATGCAGAGACCACAGCAGGACCCAATGCAGAGACAACAGAAGCCACACAACCCAAAGAAACAACTCCCTACTCATCGGAAGAAACCACACCTTACATAGGAGGGAAGACCACTGCATCTGTCATTGAGAGGACAACAGGAACATCACATGTCTACACCACTAAGGGTAAACCAATGTCTCTTTTCACAGTTGTAACATGAAAAGCTCTTGAGAGATCATGACCAAGTGTAAGAGATTGTAGAATGTGGCAATAGTAACACAGTGTGAATCTTAAAACCTGTCAACTGTGAATTCATGACAATGACAAATAGGTCTACCTTGCATGAATACTTCAGTACACATTTAAAACACTGTAAAGACCTTCTTTTTTTCTGTTATTGCAAAATGAAACCACCACAAAAGTACATACATTTACAGCACTTAGCTTACAATGGCCTTTGCACATCAAATTGACTAATGACAACGTTACAACTTTCTTTCCTTCCCTGGCTGTCCCAGGCACCACTACCAAGTCCACGGTGTACACAGTGACCAGCCGCCCTGTCACCACACAGTGCCTGGGTGTGGACTGTGGAGACGGCTTCTGTCTCAGGATGGAGAAGAGATGCAACGGCATCAGGGAGTGCGCTAATGGCAGGGATGAAGAGAACTGCCAAGGTGAGGATTTGAGTTTGAGCTGTTAGTTGATTAGAAGAGAGTGACTCATTTTTTGTGCTCTTTATCTCTATCTACCTCTCTATCTGTCGCTCTCTCCCTCCCTCTCTCTTCTCTCCCCTCTCTCTCTTCTCTCTCTGCTCTCCCTCTCTCTCCCTATCTGTCTCCCCCTCTCTCCCTCTCTCATCTATCCCTTCGTCTATTTGTTCAACCATTGGGACACCACAGATCATCTGACAACCACTTGTTCTTCATGCACCCTTCTTGGCTTTTCTGTTCCTCTTTACATGCCAGATTTTATTTCTGTTGGTAGAGTCTTTAAACTTCATAATTCCAACATTTCAGGTTCTGATAATCTACTTTTTAGTGTCTATATTCTGGAATGCACCTTGGTTGATTGCTGAACCATCTTGTGTTCCAGCATACACAAGTCGGGCACCAGTTACAGAACTCACATCAAGAAAGCCTGTCGCAACCACCACCGAGCCTTCAGCACCAGGGACAGAGCCTACAGCTCCCTACCCCTGTGAGGGCAAGTGGACAGAGTGGATGAACTCCTTCTACCCTGATGTCATGTCTGGTGGAGACTTTGAGACATTTGAGAATCTGAGGAAGAAATATGACTTCTGTGGGCCTGAGATGATCACAAGTAAGTTCTTTTTTAATGTTAAAAGTCTAGAATATGTTTCATACAAGTTTGAAAAAACTACTTTTGTTCACACAAAGTGAAATTATTATTCAACACCTGGTCAATAGTTAACCCTTGAGGTGGCTTGAAGAAACTGATAACTATAAAACTTTTATTTCTTTCCAAAGACATTCAGTGCCGTGTGGACAGCCGTTTGGAGATGGACTACTCCAGGACTGGCCAGGATGTGACCTGTGACATCCACCAGGGTCTGGTTTGTGAGAACTCCAAGCAGCGTGGATTCCTGCCTTTCTGCTACAACTACAAGGTCAGGGTGTTCTGTGAGTGTGGTGGGGAGGTGACATCAGGACCAGGGACAACTCAAGCTCCCAATCCTGCCACCACTGCTGCCAAACTGACCACCAAGGCTCCGTTTGCCTCTACAACTGCTCTTCCAAGCACAACACGAAGTACGAGTTTACATACGTTTACATTCTGCAACCTTGAATTGTTGGAATCACTGTGCAAATCTTTGTGCTGAAAAGCATGTTGCATTTCAATTAGAAGAGCAACATGAGGTTTAAGTAGGACAAGTTGAATCCACAGTTTAACCTAGAGTACAATTTTAGCACACTCTAGAGCTATCAGGAAGGGCTACCAGGAAGACCAGCAAGTAGACATTTATTGAACGTTTGAAATAAAAACAAGTTGTATGGAATTTTGAGTGCTGCCATAAGTCCTACAAGTTAAGAGAATATTGTTTACTATATTCCCTCTGCATATCTATCATAATGTCAAATGTGTATGTATCAAGATGACCATTACTATTATAATATCATTATACTGTTGTATTTGGCAGGCCCGTGCCCAGACAAGTGCTACTGCACCCTTGGATGTGAGGATGATGGAGACTGTGGGGCCATGCAGGGATGTGATCGAAGCTGCTACTGTGCTGGCGACTATGACAGGTAGGAGTGTAATTTTGTAGGAAATACATCTCTCAGCATAGGTAGCTGTTACTGTGCTTGGGACTATGACTGGATTGTGTTTTCTTCATTTTGTAGGTGTTTGCTTGTAACAGTACCATGTAATTTAAGCTTCATACTCTAACAGAAAGATCAGAGCCCCAAACCTGTTCTCCTGATACATTGCCATAATGTACAGACTGACACATTTTACATGTATGTATTAAAAAAAATCTAAACCATGATATTATTGTCTATGTTGTGTGCAGGTACAATGAGCGCTGTGCCACCATGCCAGCAGAAGAGGAGTGTTTCCCACAGACTACAACAGAACCAACTTACACAGTCCCTGTGGAAACTACAGGTTTGTTTAATCTGATACACTAATACATAGACCTCAAAAGGCCTCAAAAGCTTCAGAATATCAGTACAGCAGTTTTTTGTTATAAGGGGCAGAATCTTCAAATGAACCATAATCATGAGATCAATTTGACAAAATAGTGTATGAATATCTGTATGGCAATCTGTAAATCTTCTAAACAGCTGACTTCCGCTATATTTCTGCAGTGTTTGTGACGACTACAGGACCCACAGTGAGCAGCTACACCACAGGTGCTCCTACTCCAACCACTGGTCTGCCTCTCACTACACCAGGTGGGGTGGTCATCTTTATGCTTTGGTCAATACTGTAAATTGTCTGAAGTTTGATGGGACTTTGCAGTAAGAGGATAAAATGAGAAATTTATCAATGGTGTTTGAAGTTGGTGATTGAAACAACACAATTCAGTAGAAGACAAAGCACATCAAATCAATGCAAATATCTCATGATTTACAGTATTTCTTTTTAAACTAACTTGCAGAAACTTTTTAAGCAAGTCTAACTCTTGCAAGAAGGGAATTCTCGTGAGTGAGTGATATACATGATTAGCAATATGTATCAGTTTGCTGGAAACAATTTGAAATTTGAGTACAAATGTAACAATTTTTCCAGTTGTGTGTGGCAGTAACCAGGAGTACACAGAGTGTGCGTGCCACACCAGCTGTAAGGACCTTGCTAAGGAGAACCAGACCTGCAGCTGTACACCTGGCTGTGACTGTGTGGACGGGATGGTGCTGAACAACGGAGAGTGCATCAGGGCCATCGACTGTCCCTGCTACTACCCTCCTCACGAGAAATTCTACAAGGTGACTTGTACTTATCATTGTTGAACAACAGAGCATTCAGCACAGAACCAAGATGTCCCGGGTTCAAATCCTGCCATGTCACCGATCTTGTGCCCTTGGGAAAGGCACTTAACACAACTTTCTTTACATTGTTTAGGTAGAAGTTATGATCATAGTTCAGTTGTCCTTTTTTTTTTCAAGATGGCAGTCTTAGATCCTTGTTGGCAGTTGGTTCTGTCACAGCCAGCTATAGCTTGACAATTGCACAAAATGCATGTCAAAGGTGATCACACCTGAAAAGTTTGACTCTTACACTCAATCAAAATCTACCCAGTTGCTTGTAATGAGTAACAGTACTGTTGTCTTGTACCTGGATGTCTAACATTCATCAACATATTCTTTGTCCCAGTTTGGCACCACCTTTGCTAAGAATGAAAGTACCACGTGTGCCTGTACTAAAAATGGGATTTAGTGGACACAGTAAAGTAGGCAATGAAACATTTGACAGGTTTAAACATTTATCCAGTTGCTTGAGTAACAGTTGTCTTGTGTAATTCATTACCTGGATGTATTAACTTCATCTGCATCAGCATGCAAAGCTAACAACACTTTTCCCTGTCCCAGTTTGGCGCCACCTTTGCTAAGGATGAGTGCACCACATGTGCCTGTACTAAGGGAGGGATCGAGTGTGACATGGACTGTAACATCTCACCTGAGGACTGTCAGGAGGGGGAGGTGTTCGAGAACGTCCCTGGGAAATGCTGCGGATGCTTCCCAAGTAAGGCTAGCTTTCATACAAACTTTTACTCTCTATATACTATTAGGCATTTAAAAATCCTGTTGAAATCCTCATACTCAAACTCATTTTTATATGAAGATTTTAGACATAGGTGTGTGCTCAATGTAGGAATGTGAGGCAAAACCGGAAATATTCTGGATGAAGAAATCTTTATGATGTTTACATTACAGACACATTTTCGCACAATGTTTTATCTTTGATGCATTTACAAATATTGCAAATATAATCATTTAGACCATGTTCCATTCATATTAAGGGATACCAATAAATATATACTGCAAAGCTGCAGCTAATCAACACAGTCAGGTGATGTAATGTGTTTGTTTATCTCTTTGTTCTAGGCACTTGTACAAATGGTATGGAGTACCAGTCTAGCTACTGACCTGACTTCCTAAGGAGGCAAATATTCATTTGTTTGTTCGTTCCAGCCACCTGTGAGATGGATATTTATTTGTTTGTTTGTTTGTTTCTTTGTTTGTTTGTTGCAGGCACCTGTACAAATGGTATGGAGTACCAGTCCATCTGTGCGTGCCATCGCACCTGCACTAACCTGACGGCCACCTGTGATATGGACACCTGCCAGCCTGGCTGTGCCTGTCCTGACGACATGGTCTTCAACGGTCTGGAGTGTGTGGAACCGACACAGTGTACTTGTGAATACGAAGGGAAATCTTATTCTGTGAGTATTGCTTTTCATTTTTCCCTAGAACTATTGTTGAGTGGAGCTTGCTGCCATCAAAGTTAAGTCGGGGCATCATCACTAGATAGCTTTAAACACTTAGGTGTAACAGTTGTTCGGTGTGCATGTATAATGTAATAAGCTAGCTACTACCACCTCATGTGCCTGCAAAGCTGGTGTGTTACACGGATGGGCATTTTATACAGCAACAGATACAAAAGCTGGACCAGGTGTGTTACGCCAAAGGGTGGTTCTATCAGCTATACATATACAGAAGCTGGTCTGTTACTCCGAAGGGGTGTTATACCTGCTATACCGATACAGATACAAATTTTCTTCTCCCTTCAGCCAGGAGAGATCTGGGTGCCAGGAGAGTGTACCATGTGTAAGTGTATGGATGACCACACACCCAGCTGTGGAGAGTACTGTCCCATCACACAGTGTTACTAACATGTTTGTACATGTAACGTTATATTCCAGCCAGGAGAGATCTGGGTGCCAGGAGAGTGTACCATGTGTAAGTGTATGGATGACCACACACCCAGCTGTGGAGAGTACTGTCCCATCACACAGTGTTACTAACATGTTAGTACATCACACAGTGTTACTAACATGTTTGTACATCACACAGTGTTACTAACATGTTAGTACATCACACAGTGTTACTAACATGTTTGTACATGTATATTCCAGCCAGGAGAGATCTGGGTGCCAGGAGAGTGTACCATGTGTAAGTGTATGGATGACCACACACCCAGTTGTGGAGAGTACTGTCCTATCACACAGTGTTACTAACATGTTTGTACATGTATATTCCAGCCAGGAGAGATCTGGGTGCCAGGAGAGTGCACCATGTGTAAGTGTATGGATGACCACACGCCCAGTTGTGGAGAGTACTGTCCTATCACACAGTGTGAGGAAGGTTATGAGATGGTGAACGCCAAGCCTGATGACGGAGTCTGCTGCAAGTGCAAACCTGCCGGTAAGATATCCAATATGATTTTTCTCAAGGTGCACTTATCAGACCAAGATTTTTTGAGGTTTTGAAATGGAAGATATGTCAGTCAACCAATTAATGGACGATTTGAGATACTCAGACTGAACCTCTTCCTATTTATCAAAATGTGTTTTCATTTATTCATGAGGCCATACTGGTTTTATTATACTGATGACATCCTTTGAGCACCCCAAAACTTAAGTGGTAGTCACTATTTTTTAAGAGCAGTTTAGATATGTAGGAGTGCATTATACTCCATCCATGTCATTGGAGAGGTCTTTAGATTCCTTTTTCAGGTGGCAAATATGTGTGTGATCTGGCAGAGTTTTGCCTAACTTAGTAGCATAACAATGTAAACTTTTCTGCATCCCATCAGGCCCAGTGTGTGAGGACCCAGCTGAAGTTTACCACCAGGTGGGAGAAGTCTGGGCACGTACAGCCTGTGAGAGTTGTCAGTGTATGGAGGAAGGGAGGGTGGAGTGTGACAGGCTTATCTGCCCTGCTGTTCCCTGTCCTGAGGTAAGGTTTTCTGTTGTACAGTACAGTTGTACAGTACAGTTGTACAGTACTGTTGTACAGTTATAGTGAGTAGTTGGATATCTGTACTGCCTGTGAGAGTTGCCAGTGTATGGAGGAAGGGAGGGTGGAGTGTGACAGGCTTATCTGCCCTGCTGTTCCCTGTCCTGAGGTAAGATTTACTGTTCTACAGTATAGTTATACTGTTGTACAGTACAGTTGTACAGTAGTTAGATGTCTGTACAGCCTGTGAGAGCTGTCAGTGTATGGAGGAAGGGAGGGTGGAGTGTGACTCGGTTGACTCGTTCACCTACCTGGGTATCACTCTGGACCCCTCACTCAGGTGGTCAGCACACGTGCAAAGGATCACGAAGAAGCTTCTCAGCGGACTCGGTGCAATGAGACGTGCCAGAGCCTTTGTTACAAAGGAAGTGTTGCAGACCATGTACCAGACACTAGTACTATCTCATCTGGATTACTGCGCCACAGCGTGGCTACCGAGTCTAGTACAGAGCAACAAAACTCTGACATCACAGCTGGACAGACTGGTAAACAGAGCTGCAAGGCTCATCACAGGCCACAAACTCCAAGATCATGTCCCCGTTAACATCTTGCGAGCAGAGGCAGGGATAGACCCTGTGCGTAAACGGGCAGAAGTAGCTTCTCTTGTCTCTGTCTTTAAGGCAGTCCGTGGATGTGCGCCTGTGTACATGACATCGTTGTTCAAATGGGAAGCTCCACCAACACTGAGTGTACGCACTACTCGGTCAGAGTTAAAACGGCTACGGGACTATGACCCCCACCTACTCTCCTGTCCACCAGCAAGAGTCACTTCATACAGGAACAGCTTACAGTACTATGGACCTTACCTCTGGAACTCACTTCCCCTACAACAACGACAGCAGCTCAGTCTCAGAACTTTTAAACAGTTTTTATCGAATTGTATTTAAGATAATCATTAGTTATTTGAATATGTGCTATTTTTAGACTTTGTATGTATTGTGAATCTGTTTAACTGTTAGGTGTTTGTCAGTGCTTTTGTACCAGGATTTCCTGAAAAACAGGCCAGAGTGGCCTGAGTGTGATACCTGGTGAAACAAATAAAGTTGAAGTTGAAAGTTGACAGGCTTATCTGCCCTGCTGTACCCTGTCCTGAGGTAAAATAGAATGATGTTTTACTCTACAGTTATTCAATTAATAGCTGATATACACTTGCCAGTCACTGCCTTTTCTTATAGGATCTATAATCAGATTATGCAATATGGACCATGTTCTAAGTCTAAAGCAAAAAAGTAGCCCACTGTAATTTGAATATGTCCTTGATTATGATTTTTTTTCTTCTTACAACAGGGTTACATGGTGACCCAGGAGCCTGGAAAATGCTGCCCAACATGTGGTAAGGATCATTTCTGTTAAATGTGACTTTTATTACACACAAAAAATCATTGTAATACTCAAAAACAAAGTTTCCAACAAAAAATACCTGGTATCAGGTAATTTATCAACAATCTTTGTTTATTTGATTATGATGTAACTTATGTGTATTAACTCCAACTAAAAGCATGATTTAATCATATACGTCCTCTTTGTGTCCAGTTGGCCTGGCCACCACCACCTCGCTGGTCCCAGTAACCAGTCTGCCCACCGTGGCACCAACCACCTACATCGCTATCACATCAGGACCGTACCAAACAGAACCAACACAGGGGACAACCACACAGGCCTACACTACTGAAAAACCAGGTCAGCAGCATGGCTTATATGGCCTATTTATGGTTGACATTGATTCAATCCCTTGATTATCAGAGTTATGTGGGAAAGCAATGGAGCAAGTGAAAAAAAACAGTTATCCTGTGGTAGACACATCAATGATGTCACATAAAGTAAAGGTCAATATATGGAGGAACTCAAAAACCCAATGATTGCATAGTTGCAAAAACGTCAAATTGAATATAATCATGAAAATTCAAATACTTCCTTTAAGTCTGAAATTTCTGCTTTCTTGTTTACTATTAGTTGTCATCACCGAGGGAGTCCAGACAACAGCAGAGACTCTGCAGTCAACAACAGGAGAAGTCAGGAGGCCTCACACCACAGGTCATTATTTTCTCTTTGGACCATAGACTATAATTGTTTCCAGATTTTATGTTTCAGTTCTGTGGTTACGCATCATGTGTGTTACAGATTTTTTATGCATGCCAGGTTTTTTTTTGGTTGTTTTTTATTATATTTTGGAAAATGTCAATAAGAGAAAGAATCACAATAACATTATGGGCTCTATTGGTGGACCAGCCATTTTCATTTATGTCCACTGTACATTTTGTATTTGCTGCTTCAACTTTGTAATATGTTCTTTATGTTTCATGAAGAAAGGATCCTTATATTTACATACTTTCTGTCCAATGCTAAAAAATCTATGTGAATAAAAGAAATAAATAAAAGAAAAGTAAAATTTACAATACTTTCTGTTCCCAAACATTTATTATTTTTCCTTCCCCAGGTGCTACAACCACCGCCCCAGCCTGTGGCGCCGGTAAGCTGTCGTGTGACGGGATGTGCTTCCCTGCCAGCTGGAAGTGTGACGGGAACGTGGACTGTTCCGACGGGCAGGACGAGGAAAACTGTCCATACGCACTGACCACAACTGGGCCGTCTGAAACATCAGGTCCTCTGGAGACAACAACTGTTTCACCTGAAACATCCAGTCCCCTGCAGACCACAAAGAGTCCATCTGAAACATCCAGTCCTCTGGAGAACACAACTGGTCCGTCTGTGACAACTTCTGCATCAACTGTTGAGACTACAAAGGAAATGTTACCACGTGAGTCATTATATTGGTTATACATGTAGATACATAAAATATGTACTTTCCGTTTAAAAGGGAAAGATACAATGTAAATGTTTTGTTGTCTTTTATTTTCTGCCTAAAAAAAGTATCCATCTGTTAGTGTTGCTCTCGAGTTCTTACATCACCTTACATCTCAAATAGTGTCATGCTTTGCAAAGCAAAATTATGTCAGATTTTGCATGATGGTCATCTGAAATTATACAATCATAATGGTCTAACATGTCTAAAACAGTTTTTACTTTGCTGGAGATGATAGATTTTAAAAGAATTGATACTTTACTTACTTTTTTTTCTGACAAATACACCCAGTTTTTCTTACAATGCATTTCTACAATGTAATAAGAGTTTTTGAATCATCAAATCTGTTTGTTGTTTTCCATAGTGTGCCCATCTGCCTGTAACTGCATGCTGGCCTGTGACGGTGGCTTTGGCACCTGTCTGGACATGACAGCCTGCAGTACCGACTGTAACTGCCAGAGGGCAGATGACATCAGGCTGAGCAATGGGAGATGTGCTAGGAAACCCACTGAAGCAATGTGCACAACATTCACAACTGCAACACCAGAAGTGCACACTACAGGTGAACCATCTGGAGTCTACACCACAGGCAAGCCTTCAGGAGTCTACACAACAGGTGAGCCTTCAGGAGTCTACACCACCGGCAAGCCTTCTGAGATGACCACAGGTGAGCCTTCAGGAGTCTACACCACAGGCAAGCCTTCTGAGATGACCACAGGTGAGCCTTCTGGAGTCTACACCACTGGCAAGCCATCTGAGATGACCACGGGTAAGCCTTCAGGAGTCTACACCACAGGCAAGCCTTCTGAGATGACCACAGGAAAGCCTTCTGAGATGACCACAGGCAAGCCCTCAGAAGTCTACACCACAGGCAAACCACCAGTGACCACTGCTAAGCCACCCTGCCAGGTATTTGACTGTGGAGATGGACAGTGCCTGCCCCTCCCTGCTATGCTGTGTGATGGCAAGGTCCAATGTGCTAACGGTCGGGACGAAGAAGACTGTGGCACAGGTAAGGGATAGAGATGCATTTTTGTTTAAGATAACTTTTATGTGTAAGCCTATAACTATGAATGATGTTTAAAAGATACATGAATTTTTAAACTAATAGGTATTTCTGTTTTAAAGTACTATCAAAATAACGGCTTTTGGTGTTTATTTGATTTGCTTTAAAGAACCTCCAAGCACATATACCACTGGCAAGCCAGCTGAGATGACCACAGGCAAGCCTTCTGAGATGACCACTGGTGAGCCTTCAGGAGTCTACACCACAGGCAAGCCTTCTGAGATGACCACAGGCAAGCCTTCAGGAGTCTACACCACAGGCAAGCCTTCTGAGATGACCACAGGTGAGCCTTCAGGAGTCTACACCACAGGCAAGCCTTCTGAGATGACCACAGGTGAGCCTTCAGGAGTCTACACCACAGGCCGGCCCTTGGACAAGACCACCAGGCCAACAAGACGTAAGTGAAAGTATCAGCTAAAGGTTTTGCAACGTCTACAGTTATACATTGCAAAACTACAAAATCTTGAAACATCTGAATTTTCAAAATCTATCCAGGTGCTTGAGCATGTGTTAAATGTACAAAAATAACGTATATGTTTCTCCACCTACTAGGTTGTTCCTCGTCCTGCCTGTGCATCGCTGACTGTGCGGGTAACACGGACCACTGCCTGGGCCTGCCGGAGTGCACACGCTACTGCCTCTGTAACGAGAACACCTGGGACAGGACCAACTGGAGGTGTGTGCAGCGCCACCCGGAGGAGTACTGCAGTACTGCAGCTCCACCTACAACTGAGAAGCCACAACTTCAGACCACTGCAGCACCAGTGGAGACAACTACTGTTGCAGTGACTCCAACAACCAGGCCAGGTAACATCATACCAGACAATCTTACTTTTATCACTCATGATTCAATCTAGCTCATTTAATGAATGATTATAGAAGAAAGTACAATGCTTAACTTAGAATTGTTTTATGTAGTGTGTGGAGAGGCCTGTACCTACCAGATGACCTGTGCTGACTGGTCCAGGGACAGTTTTGCAGGAGACATGCCAGCTGACTGTGGTGCCTGTGCCTGTCCTACTGGTCAGTAATGTTCTAAACAGGAGGACTTTCACCAATATAGATGTACTGTGGAGTAGAAAATGCAAGGATAAAGTTGAAGCAAAAGTCTGCTAAATAAATATAGTATGTTCCTAGACTTATGACATTGACACAGAGTACTGGCGGAACCTGGCCAATGACTGATTCACACTGTACAGGCAGGTGAAATCAGTAGAAGCTAGACTGAAGCACTGCACAGAGAAGTGGACCCAGAGAATAAACTCTGCAACAGACAGCTTACTGAGTCAGCTCACAGATGTGCCCTATATGGCAGAGACTGTCATTCTCATGTAGTACTGTTCAGCCATAGCCAAAGCTGTAGGGCTGATATCAGTTATCATGGCCAATACTGATGGAGGCCATGTTCTCAGAATGATTTTTTTTTTTAATTTTCATTATACTTCATGTTGGATTTTGGAACCCATTACTCCAGGCACAGTAAAGGACAGCCTGTGGGGCACAGCCTTGTGTCTGAAGGAGCCTGCTGACAGGTGCTACTGTGAATACAACGGGCGGCAGTACCAGCCAGGAGAGGTGTACTGGAAGGGCAGCTGTGAGCAGTGTGCGTGTGACCCCGACACCCTGACTGAACTGTGCCACGGTAATGTCTGTCAGCTCACTCAGGACGACTGTGAGAAGGTGAGTAACCTGAACCCTTAATGTTTGTGTAGCACTTATTGACAGAATGTTTTTAGGTCAAAAAAGATATGGTCTGCAACAGACAAAATTAGGATGCAAGATTGACCACAGAAAGAAGTGAAAAATCAGAGTTTTGTGCAGGCACAGTACATTCTGTCAACTCTTTTTTTAGCATTGGGAAAACCTACCTTTAGTCCTTCTCTTTAGCCTCCCACCAGTGTTCTACATGTTTTTTTGGGGAGAATTTGAAAAAAATATGTGAAAAAATAGCCCTGGGAGAGTATACACTCTGTAACAGTGTTGTTACTGATCATGACATGATGTGTTTTTCTCTGCCAGGATGGTAAGGTGCTTGACAACAGGCCAGGAGTGTGTTGTGAATGTGTGGAGCTGCCAACAACTGTTGCACCTGAAACAACTGCTGCACCTGAAACAACACCTGCACCTGAAACAACTGCTGCACCTGAAACAACTGCTGCACCTGAAACAACAGCTTCTACACAGAAGCCAAGAAGTAAGTCTCATCATTTCAACTGTAAATTTCTTCAGTTTCATTTTTCTTCCAGTTGAAGCTATGGAAATGCAACATAATTTTCAGGCCAACTTTTCTCAGTCATTCTACCAGTAATTCAACTAATTTTATTTTGTTTTATATTTTCCAGCTACAGTTTCTCCAACTTCTCCAGGTATGTAACTGTATGTTTCCAAACATACTAACACACGGTTTTATATTAAAGCAAAGAGTTGATTAGATATATCTTTCTGATGGCCATTCAGCACCGGGGACAGGTGTAGTGTTTCTCTGTCAGGTACAATCAAGCTTTAGATTTAAATTTAAAGTGTTGGTAAGGCCACACCATCTTAATTTTATGGATTACATCCTCTGAAGACCCCCAAACTAGTGTGCGCGGGCGAATAAAAAAAAATTCCGGCCAAAAATATAAATGCTACTAAACCACAGGAATGCAAAGCTGGTATTGTGAATTTGCGGCAGTACAAGCCGGCACATGGCTTTTTGCAGAATTTATGAATTGGCACTGTGCGTATATACTGAGTTCTTGAGTCGTGGAGCTTTCGTTTTGGTAGACTGGGTGCCCGGCTCCGTATTGTCGCTAACTACCAATTACCATTGACTACCCAGGCCTAGAGCCAGGGCGTGATCTTTTTTTGTTGAGAACAGGCAAAAATCAATGCACGTGCGGATGTCATCCATAATATTAAGTCGGTGTGGCCTAAGCAATGAAAAAAAGAAGACTCTTTCTTGAATTTTCTTGAATTTTCCTGTTTCATTTCCAGCCTGCCCTGAGACCTGTGTGAAGCCGATCACCTGTGAACACCAGGAGTTCTATGACCCCATGTCACCTCCTTTCGAGGTGTCCTGGGATGATTATGATGCATGCTGGGACTGTCCGTGTCCAGCAGGGACCGTGGTAGATGAGGACTTCTGGTTCACCATGATGTGCCTGAAGATCCCGGAAGTCTGCGAGACGTGCAAGTACAACGGCAAGGAGTACAGGGTGGGTGCTAGTAGGGCTTTAAGCTCAGCATCACACTGCAGAGCAAAAACTACCCAGACAGGTCTGCAAGCTCTAATACCAGGGTAGAAGGCTCTAGGCATCAGCCAATGTTGGAAAGTCAAAGAGCCATGTCCAACGTAACGTTAGGATTTCCTGAAAAAAATATGGTCGACTTTCTACTCTGTGATTTTGGTATTCAGCAAACTTCTGGTGATCAACAAATTTATCCAGGAGTGCAAACTTCAAATATACAGGAGTTGAAAAAAAATAACGCTTGCCAAGGCCTACATAATCTAACAATTGTAATGTTTCTGCTCTAAATCTTTGCAAGCAGACTTGAATGTACATGCTGATACATAATAGGACTACTACTGTAACAGCAATAACTTTCTTCTTAAACATTGAAATGTAAAGATATTGTAGCTACATAAAAGCCTTTTGCAGATCTGTAGAAGAGAAGTAGCTAATATCTGCATTTCTGCATTTTGCTCTCTCCTTGCTTGAAGCTTGACCTGTGTGCCGGCTGTACCTACCTCGGTAGAGAGTACCAGGTAAGTTGCTTTGCTTCCTGCACAGCTGCCTGACGTGTATAGAAAATGCATGTAGAATATTTCTTGCAAATCTGTATTGCTTGCCTCTTCCCTCCATTTCTTTTTTTCTTTTGCATGCATGCAAGTATGTTTTTACACGATCCAATCTTTTAAATCTACATTCCCACTATCATCTCAGATAGTGTGATTTGATAAAGAATTCAGGTTCTACAGAACTTGGGTTCTAAAAAACTTAGGTTCTAAAGAATGTAGTAGGTTCTAAAGAACTTGGGTTCTAAACAATGTAGTAGGTTCTAGAGAAAGAATATGTTCCAAAGAACTTGGGTTCTTTTGTCAGAAAAGAACTGGACTGATGAAGAGTGCCAGTAAACTGTACCATTGCTTATCTAACCTTTACATACCTGGGGGTGCTGCACTAGAGATCTCTCAAACAAAAATTTCAGGTATATGAATGAAACCTGGCAGATGAATGTCAATGGAGGTTATGTATTATGTATTCTGGTTGTGTGACGTTGTTTGTTTGTCTGTGTTTCCACAGGTTGGAGATGTGTGGCTGCGCGGCCAGTGTGAGCAGTGTGAGTGTGTGTATGAGGATGGTTCTTACTACGAGAAGTGTGAGCACAAGTGTAACCTCACACCTCAGGACTGTGAAGCTGTGAGTATACCTGCACTATACCTTTTCACATTATCACCATAGGAGAGAAAATGGGATTTTCAATGTTTGAAGTTCTTGCTTTGGGAAATTCTAAAGTGCAGTAGAAATACAAAGCACATATTTGCCTTGTTATGATTTTTATAGAATAATTCATTATTACAGGTCACCATGAAAGAAAAACCATATAATAAAACAATATGATAAAACAATATGCTGTTACAATATAAAGGTAAACTGCTGTTACAACACAAAGGTTCTCACCTAGAGCATTTGACCAGTCACTCTGGTCTTCCTCAGTAGACTGACCCAGTGGGGCTTGTCACGTGGCCTCTTTGAAGCGTAACGTCAACACTGGGTCATAGTAGTAGAATATCCTAAGTTAACATAGCCTTGTTTAAGAATTTTCTTAATCTTCCATGCTCCAGGAAGGAAAGGTGTTGATTGACCGTGATGATATCTGCTGCCAGTGTTCAGCACCCACCGTAACCACAACAGTTCCCATGGCAACGACAACAACGCCCCGCCCGGCAACCACAACTACCCCAGTCAGGATCACCACCAACACACCAGGTACAGGCAGATTAGTCTGAGGGAGGGAAGGAAGGAATGAATGAACAAACAGATGAGTAATGTGCAAGACGTTCGACTATGACATAAGATTGGTGTCTAGTGTTTAGTTGCACTGCTTCCAAATCAGACGTTTAAGGGTTAAAACCTCATTCAATCTGAAGCTGACTGACCAACCTTCTTAAAAGGCTGGCGGTCTTTTAGATGTTGTTACAGTGACAGTGGTTTACCATCAAAATATCAAAATATGATATTACGGTTATTTCACACAATAGCCATATATATATAATCATATATATATTGAGTCTGTACTATAAACTTTTGTCCCTGTTACCTCAGTTGCTTACTTGACAAAAAAAATCTTAACTTTTTGTTTCTAAATTTTCTTGTTGATAAATGTCACACATAACATTCCCCTAATTTTATCCTCCTCAGTACTAGTGTGTTTTCATGGTGATAGATGTCAGACAAAGCATCCTAAAACTTCCCCTAATGTTGTCCTCCCCAGTGTGTTCTGAAGAGTGTAAGGTCCAGGTGAACTGTAGAGACCTGATGGCCTGGACTGCGGATGATCTGGCCAATGGGAACGCTCCGTTCGAAGAGCGCTGGATGTGCAACGACTGTCTCTGTCCAGATGACACGTTTGAAGACGTCTACTGGGGAACCTCCATGTGTCTTAAGGAGATCCCATCCTGCCCAACTCCTTGCCAGAATGGAGAAGACACTTACTATGTAGGATTTGGCTGCCTATTTTCCTCAAATCATGCTGAATTATGTGATATCATTATAACACAATACATTTGTGTGTTTGCTGCTTCAGAACTGTGCTTTAGAACTCATAGAGCCCATATATAGTCAATGACATATACTTTAGAGCTGATATTAGTATACAGGCAATAATGCATTCTGTCTTCTGTTTTTAGGTCCTAGAATCATGCTTTGTTCAGAACTGTGCCGGTAAATCAACATTCTTGGATATGCTGAGACTATCCAGAAGTGAATAGATCCTACCCCTAACCCATTCAGGCGTGGAACTAGATAGCCACAGTCCTGGATACAACAGGGACAACATGCAGTAAGTTGGTATATTCACTGATTTCCCTACAGGAAGGAGATGTGTTCTGGAGAGGAAACTGTGACATCTGCACCTGTAAGTACAAGGACGGCTACTACTATGAGGAGTGCAACGTCTTCTGCCATCTCACAGAGGAGGACTGTCTGCAGGTTTGGAGTTTTTCTTATTTCCTAAATTCATTTCTCTGTTGGTAAGGGCTAATTATGCTCACCATTGAGGAAGGAAAACATGTTGTATTTGCTCTGTTTCTTCTTCTTCTTCAAACACATAAGGTCAATGACCTAGACCAGACGTCTGTCACCATGGTAACTGGTGCTGTGACAAAAGACCCGTATTGTTGAATTACATTGTGTAGCAGGACAGAGTTGAAGGGGTGTCACTATATTTGTATGAATGTGATTGAAGAAGAATAAACAGAGCAGTAGTTTGTTGGGCTAGACCATGTGAAGGTAAACATTACGAATTTGCTTTGTAAATGTTACCCTTCTATCTTTCATTTTCTATTTTGAATGTTGCTTACAGAAAGGAATGATCCTGGAGGACAGACTGGGTGTGTGCTGCTCGTGTGTGGCACCTCCGCCAACCACACAGCCTCCAACAACAACCCTGGCAACAACAACCAGCAGCTCAGAGTCTGTACAAACCACACAGGGACCGTCTGAACCAGGAAAGACCACCCTGTCCCAGACAACAGGTGGCATTCCTCATGCTGAAACCACCAAGGGACCGATGCAGCCGGGTACCACAGCCAAGCCTTCTCTTACAACAGGGGTGACTGTGGAAGCTGAAACCACTGCAAGGCCTGAAGAAATGACGACCAAACGATCTACTTCTTCTACTGAGAGGCCAAAATGGTGGACGACTGGTGTTCTGCCAGAGGTGACCACATCTGCAGTTTCTGAGACGACAAAACCATTGTCTGAGATGACCACAGGCAAGCCTTCAGGAGTCTACACCACTGGTGAGCCTTCAGGAGTCTACACCACAGGCAAGCCTTCAGGAGTTTACACCACAGGTGAGCCTTCTGAGATGACCACAGGTGAGCCTTCAGGAGTCTACACAACAGGCAAGCCTTCTGAGGTCACCACAGGAAAGCTTATCTCAACCACCACCGAGCCTTCAGCACCAGGGACAGAGCCTACAGCTCCCTACCCCTGTGAGGGCAAGTGGACAGAGTGGATGAACTCCTTCTATCCTAATGTCGTTTCCGGTGGAGACTTTGAGACTTTGGACAACCTGAGGAAGAAATATGACTTCTGTGGGCCCGAGATGATCACAAGTAAGTTCAACTTGTTAAAATCATAACGTAGCATATCTTTACACTTACATTTGCCAATTTTTTTCTATTCAACAGATTGACTGAATACATTTTAAAATGCAAACCAGCAATAGGAGAAGCCATATAAATATATCAGTATACTAAGGAAGCACAACATACCTTATCTCTGCATTTACAGACATTCAGTGCCGTGTGGACAGCCGTTTGGAATTGGACTACACCAAGGCTGGCCAGGATGTGACCTGTGACATCCACCAGGGTCTGGTTTGTGAGAACTCCAAGCAGCGTGGATTCCTGCCTTTCTGCTATGACTACAAGGTCAGGGTGTTCTGTGAGTGTGGTGGGGAGACAACATCCAAACCTGAAGAAGGCACAACCCAGCTCACTGAAACTGAAGCACCTGAAACAACTACTGAACCAAGTGTTGTGGAACAAACAACAAAGCCTATGCCAGCAACAACCCTCCGAGGTAAAATTAAGCATAATCTCTGTGTCAAAATGCAAATTTCTTCCCCCAAAAAGGGGCTAAGATATCATGAACACAAACACTCAATAAGTCTAGAGCATTGGTATCAAAAAGTGTGGTATTGTATCTGATACTATTTACTCATTTCATTAAACAATTTTGCTTGACGTGTCAATTCTGTGATTCATGTGATTCTATCCTGCCACATGATAAGAGATTCTCCACAAATTACATTGTAATGAGATTTCCATGACATGACATGTATGTCACACCTCTGTGAAGAACAGACGATAAACCGGACAGTGAGTGTGTGTGTGTGAGTGGATGTCTTCTGTGAGTAGTACATCCTTGGCTAGCTACAGTTTTAGACCTCCAGATAGCCTTAGAGAAGCATAGAGAAGCATACATGTGGGTAAACCATTGTGATGAAAATGCTCCCCCCACACACACACACACACAGTCTGTAGTGATGAGTGCACCTGTGAGATCGGCTGTGGAGATGAGCTGGACGCCTGCACCAGGCTGTCCGGCTGTGATGACCCCTGCACCTGTGCTGACCCCGCCGCCATCAGGGTTAAAGGTCGCTGTGCCCTTGACCCCCCTGCTGAGAAGTGTGCCCCTGCCACGACCCCGGTGTCTCCTGTCCAGACTACAGAAACACCTTGCAAGGTTAGGGTCAGTTTTGTGTAAATGTCTGTAAAAATTTAACCTCCTTTTACATTATCATACTGTACTACAGTAACTGTAGCAGTAACTGTAAGATTGTATTGTTTGGCAAGACACAATTTTTAGTTCTCAAATTTTATTGAAAGGTCATTTTGAGATGATAATTTTTAGTATGAAATTGCTCATTTCAGCTACAGTATTCAAATATGCTTCAAGTTCATTTAGAATTTAATCAGTTTCCAATTTCTTCAATGGTATTGTTCAAAGCCAAACAAACACTTCTAGGCACTGACCTAAGGTGGTAAACAGACATATGCCAGAATATGGCAATTTATTTTGAAGGCTTGATGCTACAATACATTATGTTTTCTATCCACCTGTAGTATGATGCTGACTAACAGTAACTGTTGATTTCTGCCAACCTGTAGTATTATGATAAATGACAGTTACTGTAACAGTTGTTTACTGTCTACCTGCAGTATGGTGCTGAGTACACAGATGAGAGGACCTGTCAGCTGTGCAGCTGTGTGGGCGGAGCCTACACCTGTCAATCAATCTGTGACGAAGTCTGTGCTGAGGTAAACACTACCATATTAGGATGTTAAGTTATATTCTTTATCTTTATTGTAGTATGCTCAGTATAGTCGTTGCCTTACAATTGTCCTGTAATGAAGCTCTTCTATCACTGTCTACTTTTACATCAAGCGTTATTGAATACCATTTTGAAGTAGAATGTAGTTTGTACAGCGAGAGATCTAGAGTGTTGAACTTTATAGACTGATAACATCAGTGTTTCCCTACATCTTACATTGTAAAATTCTCTCCTTTTCAGGATGAAGATCTGGTCCAGATGAAGGGAGCCTGCTGCTACTGTCAGCCGAAATCCATGTGTAAGTAACATCTTTTAATGATAATGTAATATGATATTGTATCCGCATTGTAAAACAGCTAGTAATTCTTATTCTGCTGCCTTACTTTCAAGATCCTGAATCCAATGGTACTATGTCTTTCAGGTCACAATGCACTTCTGAACATTGGCATACTTTAAGACTAATTTTTTGTGTAAATTTTCAACTGTGTTACAGCCACCACCCTGTCACCAATCGTGGAGACTACCCCTGTTGCCCCCATTGTTGAAACAACACCATCAGTACAGACCACCACAACTGCTCCTAGCACCACTACTCTGCATGGTAAGCCTAGTTACCTTTGTCAAGAAGGTTATATTTGAGGAGCATGTGTATGTCTTTCTGTCTGTCTCTCTGTCTGTGTGTATGTAAATACAATAACTTTGAGTGGATTGTCCTAATATTTGGTATGTAGGTAGGCCTTGATGTCAACTCAAAATGATTAGAGTTTGTGGCATAGTACTGTAGCGGGTCTCAACTTCTTTATTAATTTAGATCAAGCTATCATTAATTTATTTCTGACCACAGTGAGCCCCCCAGCTTGCCTGTGCATGATCGGATGTACAGAAAACCAGCTGCTGCTGCCTACAGAGCTGCCTGCACAGTGCCAGCCTGACCCGGCGTGTGCGCAGTACTACTGTCCTGAGGGATCAGTCAGGGATGACAGGGCAGGCTCCAGTCTCTGTCTGGTGTACGAGGAGTGTGAGACAAGGACTTGTGAATACCAGGGAGTGTCGTATGAGGTACATGTATGCGTGGTTCTTTTCTATGGGATTCTATAGTGGATCTTTTGTAAGTTTTGGACTGTAATTACAACCTGCGTAAAACCGGACCGTAAGGTTTGAACCAGGACCGTAAGGTCTTTAATATGCTTGAGGTGTGGATCTCCTCAAACATGGATGTGTTCCATAGCTGCTCTTGTGCATCCTGGTCTATGGTTGGTTCAAAGCCTTTCTGAAAAATGCAGGACAAAAAACGCACAATGAATGGGACAATTTATGGTTAACGGTTACTAAAACATGCTTTCACTCTTAGAACTTAGGGTATAGAGGATAGGAGTATAATGTATTCTATTATATGTTAATATCATCTATTCTGTCCTGCAGCCTGGCCAGTCATACTGGAAGGGTTCGTGTGTGCTGTGTAACTGTGAGGAGGAGACTGGACAGGAACAGTGTCTGTACAACCAGTGTAGACTCACAGAGGAGGACTGCAACATGGTAGGCTGACATTGGAAACCTTCAGTTGCATTTTGTGACAGTTAATGTTTCATTCTAGCTCTACTACAGGTGTTAGTTGGCCAGAATGTACCCCTGGCCAGAATGTACCATTGGCCAGAGTATCAGGTACATGTATATGCTTGTCAGGTGTAGATTTGGGCTTGCTGCACCTGTAGTTGCATTTGGTAAACTTGGGACTAGCAGCTGCTGCTTCCCAGGTTATGTTGCTCTTTTCAGGCCTTCTTGAAAAAAAAAAAGTATCTTCTAGCAAAAGAAATCTGATTTTATAATAATGAAATCCATAACTTATGAGGACCCAGCTATTTAGTAGAAATGGTTGTTGATGAGTGCCTTATACTTCCACTTCTCTTTTTTCCAGAGAGGAGAGACCCTTCTCCAGGCAGATAACATTTGTTGCCAGTGTGTCCCCATCACCACAACTGTCGTCCCCAGTACTGTGTCTCCCACAGAGGTCTTCTCCACTGTCCTGCCATACACAACTGTCTTCTCCACAGGCAAACCTGCAACTACGGCTGAGCCAGAAGGTTGGTTCATGTACACATGCCTCCATACACTCTTAACCCTTACCCTAACCCTTCCACACACAACAGCTGTCTTCTCCACGGGTAAGCCTGCAACTACAGCCAAACCAGAAGGTTGGTTCATGTCTGTCTTCTCTGTCATAACCAGTAGAAGAATAGCTCCTCAGTGAGCTAAAACTGGATCAAGGTCACTTTCCCTTTTATCTATCTGATTCCAAATTAGTATTTCGTAGTTTGTGAACTAAAATGAGAATGATTTTCCTCTTGGGTCCCAGAACTCTATGTACGTAATGGACTTGGATCCTGTCATAATTTGATGCTGAATATTATCATCAATTCACAGTGTGCAGCGTGACGTGCCACTGTGAGGCAGACTGTGGACGCACCTGCGCACCTGTGGAGGCATGTGGAGACAGCTGCAGACTGTAAGGACGGCTACAGGCTGGTGGAGGGAGCCTGCATTGCTCAGCCTAGCGGATGTGGTAGGTGGGTCTTATGTTTAACTTATTATTACATGACTGTAAGTTTCCATCTATGCCTACAACAAGTAGACAGAGATGTAATGTTGACTGGGATTTAATTTGCTTTGTCATTCTGGTCTTTGTGAAGAAGAAAGAAAGATGTTTTTGGTAGTGTTCATGTATTTGCCCTTCCATTTGTCAATCTATTTGTCTGTCCTTCTGTAAACATGATATTTCCATAGGGCTTGATATTTGGTAAGTGGGTATACTAGGTCTTTTTGAGATGTCAAAATGATTCGATTTCTGGCCCCCTGTAGCTTGTTTGTTTGTTTGTTTGTTTGTTTGTTTGTTTGTTTTATGCTTTATCCTCTGGAAGGTTAGGAAAAGGACTATAATTAATGTATATTATGCATTTCTTTAAGTTGCCACCACATCAGAGCCTTCCATTGAGACCACAGCAATCATGCCAACCACTCTTGCATGTGAGTAAAGATAGAAAGATAATTATCATATTTTAGACAACTAAATCTTATCTAAGAGTGGTAAGGGTCACATAATAAGACAATATCTTCTATAAAATCTTGAAGCTCATTTTTTCCTGTTCCAGTCTGTGCGAGATCCAACCCTACAGCATGAAACATCAAAAAATATGTACTGCTTAAGTACTCAAAGCTCACAATCAATTCTCAGTGGTTATAGCAACTAACAAAGCCTTATTACACCATATATAACTCAGGGTGGGCTATTAACCCTTAAGTACTTGCAAAGTTTTTTTCACAATCTGATATTTCCCTGTCCCAGTCTGTGCACGTTCCTGCCACTGCCAGGCCGGGTGTGAGAAGGGCTGTGTGCCGTCGGCTGTCTGCTCAGACGTCTGCGAGTGTAAGCCAGGCTACAGCAGGGAGGACGGAGTCTGTATACAGTACCCAGCAGACTGTCCTGGTGTGTGGTATACTTTCTCTGTTTACTTGCTTATTGTCAATTTGAATTGCATTAATGGTAAAGTACCTGGTCCAGTATTGTGGAAATACAAGTTGCATCAGGAATCTTTTTATTGGAGCCATGTTGCATACTGGGTTTGGTGCATGCTCTTTTGGGGAAGTAACAGTTACTTTAGTTGTTAGAATAACTAGAACATATTATCCAAAGGTATGTAGACGTGTTTTCTTGAATGACTTGTTGCCTATTGTAGTTATTTGAACAAACTACTGAATGAAGGATAAGGACTTCAAGGCTTTTTTTCCAATGTTGTCTCACAGTTAGATATATTAATCATTGTAAAACCATGAAGAGAAATCTAAGACTTGTCTTCTTCACTGTAGAACCCATAGCAACTACCAAGAAGCCAACTGCTGAGACAGAAGCACCCTCGGCAACCACCAAACAACCCACGGAAACTTCTGAACCCATAGCAACAACCAAGAAGCCAACTGCCGAGACAGAAGCACCCTCAGCAACCACCAAACAACCCACAGAGACAGCAGAACCCTCGGCAACAACCAAGAAGCCTACTGCAGAGACAGAACCAGCATTCACAGGTTAGAAAGCTAGCTAATGCTCCTTGTAAAAAGCAACTGGATAGATTTTGGAAATCCAGCTAGAAGCCTTGAAACTAACACCTAAAACTTCACAGAGGGAACTAAGCTTTTTTTTCTCTCACTCGTGCATTAAACCTGTGGTTTGTGTGACCTAGTATTTTTTTTTTCATTTCAGGAGCCCCAGAGACAACTGTGGGCCATGTGACTACCAAGAAACCAGGAGAGTCCAGCACTGAACCGTCAGCTCCTGAAGCCACCTCCGCAATCCCAGAGGGAGAGACAACCAGTGCCTACCTGCACCGCACTACAGGCAAGCTATTTTAAAATTCAAGTATGATTTAATAGAAAAGTTCTTTATTCACGACCATTTGTTTAACAAGTGCTTTCGTTAAAAAACTGTTTGTGAATAAAGAACTTTGCTATTCAACTAGGTAGACTCAATCATTCATCAACCTACATTGGTGAAGGTTAGACATCCAGGTAATGATATATGCCAAAAAACAGTTACTCAAGCAACTGGATATGATTTTGGCACATTCATCAACCTGTTGAACGGATGGAGTATGATTTTTACCTGCACCGCACCACAGGCAAGCCTCTCGGCCTCACAACAGCCAGGCCTGAGGCTGAGACTGAACCAGAGGCCACCACGAGCAGCCTGTTTGAGACTATTGCCTCCACTCTGATGTCCTTCACAACAGCATCACCTGAGGAGGAACCAACAACAGCCGAGTGGAGGAAGGTTTGTTTGTTTGTTTGTTTTGCATAGCGACACAACCCAGTTTTGTACAGTAGTTATGAGCTGTGTAAGACCAGACTGTAAAATTTGAACTACTAACACTGGGAAGGTCCCTAATCCTTTAGATAAGAGCATTGGGATCTTTGGCTTTGACATGCTTGTTTGACTAACTGAAAGATCATACCTAACCAAAGCTACATGTACATTATTTACATGTTAAGCTACTCATTTTCAGAGTTACATGTAAGTGAGGAAATAGGTGGTGCAATTTGCTTTTCCCAATGACATAACAGTAGGGTATGCTGAGCATTCGAACCCAGAACCCTTAGATTCTGATAACCCTAACCACAAGACCACTTTGCCACCTTACATCCCAGGTTACCACAGGAGTACCAAGCGAGGTGACAACAGAGGCAGAGGGTGTGCACACCACCGGTGAGCCCAGCTCTGAATCCACTGCTGAGCCAACTGGTACAACTGCTGCAACTGGAGAGCTTACTACCAAGATCTCTATGGAGAAAACAACAGGTAATCATCGTGAGAAATATTTGCATATCAATCAATAGTTTGTACTTATAAATCTGGTTTTTAAACCTGACAACTCTCAAGTGTCACTGACAAAAGGTAGTGGAGGCTGCCTGAAACATCTGACCGTTTCCAAAATCATATCCAGTTGCTTGAGTAACTGTTTTTGGTGAATCATTATTTAGAAATATAAAATTCAGATCATACTAGAAATTATTTTGTATTTTAATTTCATTGACTGATTCATAAATTGATTACTAAAATGATTGATTGATTGATTGATTGATTGATTGACAGCTAGTTACCAACTTGAAGTTAAATCCTTGCTTCCATAGGCTCTGCACAGGCCACCACCAAGAAGACATTTGAAGAAACAACCGTTGAGCCGAGCTCTGAAACTACCTCAGAGCCATCTGGAACAACTGCTGAACCAGCAGAATCCACTACCAGGGCTCAGAAGCCTTCAAAACTCACCACTAAAGCAGAGGCAGAGACTACAGCAACTACAGAAATCCCCATAGGTACATGTAATGAACAATTTTTAGCAATGCTATAGAGGCAGAGCCTAATTCTTTTTTTATTGTTCAAAATGCACGCAGTCAAGCATTAAGCAACCAGTGTAGAGAGGACTTTTGAAAGCATGGCCATTTGACAGTACTACTTTGTAACTTAAAGGCAAACAGAGAGAAGAAAGCATAGCAAAAATGACATGAATATCTTCCTAGTAAAGGAGTGTGGTGTTTTAAATAAAAACGTACATTGCTTCTTGAACTTTTGGGACAGTAAGTTGGATGAAATCAACCTTTTTTATTGACACAACAGGGACAGGGACTTTTGTATGGTCTACTACAACTAAGATTGAACAATAAGGATGTCATGTACGCAGCAAATAACGATTTTTTAATGGTCAGATTAATTTCTAATACAATTGTAATGATATGTTCCAGTGTGTCCGACCTCCTGCCACTGTAAGAAGTTGTGTGAGTCCGACTGTGAGGCAGAGCTGTGTGGAGCCGAGTGTTCCTGCCAGGTCGGATATGTCAGGATGGGAGGCATCTGTGTGCAACTGCCTCAGGACTGTGAAGGTGGGTTTGGGTGAAATCTTCATCAGCAACTCGATTAACAAACTATCAGTTTTAGGCCATGGAGCATTCTATGGCCTATGTGAAAAGTGTATAGTAAGATTTGTAGAATGCAATTTAAAGAAGCCTGACTATGTAATTAGTGTAAAAATCTGTGGTCCTCTACTCATTGTGCTCATTGAAAAAAGCTATGGGAATTTCCCTGGTACAATGAACCTGTAAATACTGCACATAGCTTCTGTTTTCTCTGTCACAACCAGTGGGAGAGTAGCTCTTCAGTTGCATCAGTGAACAGAGACTGGATTGAGATCACTGCTATTCTCCTCATAATCATTGTATCTCTCTACCATTCACCAGTTACCCCCGAGCCAACTGCCAGCCCATTGACAACCCCAGAAGCCTTCACCACGCCCGGTGTGTGTGCCGATTCCTGCCACTGTATGCAGACATGTTTCCTCCTCATACTATTCTCCTTTTTGCAAATGAGTAAAGAGACTCTTTTTTACACAGCCTATGTCAGGACTGGTTCACATCGCACTGCAGCACAGGTGTCACTGCTATAGATGCATCCTTGGTTGTGTAAAAAAGAGTCTCTTTACTCTGTGACTTACCAACCTGATGAAACTATTCACGGGCCTTTCATACTCATTGTACCTAAATTCTACCATTCACCAGTTACCCCCGAGCCGACTGCCAGCCCAGTGACAATCCCAGAAGCCTTCACCACGCCCGGTGTGTGTGCGGAGTCCTGCCACTGTGTGCAGACATGTTTCCTAATGCTATTCACATGTTTATTATCTTTCATAATTATTGTACTTTTCTACTATTCACCAGTTACCCCCGAGCCCACAGCCAGCCCATTGACCACCCCAGAAGCCTTCACCACCCCCGGTGTGTGTGCGGAGTCCTGCCACTGTGTGCAGACATGTGAGGAGGGCTGCCAGGCTGCCAGGTGTGAGGCAGGCTGTACCTGTGCTGCAGGATTCAGCAGGGAGTTCGGCATGTGTGTGCAGAAACCAGCTCAGGAATGCTCTGGTGAGTCTGAATCTTTAACAGGCCAAATTTTGTACTTTGTGAGTTGGGCTGTATAGGTACATTGTACATTTAGCTGTGCTGCAAGCTTCATGAGGGAGTTCGGCATGTGTGTACAGAAACCAGCTCAGGAATGCACTGGTGAGTCCATTTAAGCTTTAATGGGCTAAATATTGTACTTTGTGATTTGGGTTTACCACCAGCTTTGTCAGAAGTTTGGCATGTGTGTCCAAAAGCCAGCTAGTGAGCAACATTCAGTGTACAGTGAAAGAAAGTCTGACTCAGTATAGAAAGACCATATAATCTGATCTGCAATTTGATTATGACGTTCTGTAGCAATTTTTTAAAGAATCTTCCCAAAGTGTATGCTCTACAACATTTTTACGTGCAACATCTTTGGCTTTAGTTTTTATAATTAGAATCCCACAATTTTCATTCAATCTAAGATAATTTTCAACTCCAAAAGGACATTTCTAAGCTCTATTTGGTGTGATGTCATAATGTTTTGCAGAGGAATTGTATCTTTAATATCTTTCCCCAGTGGCTACCACTTCTGCTCCAAAGAAGCTGACCACCACCCAGCCTGAGATCAGTACAGAGAAGCCAGCCCTGTACACTACCCATGAGCCTTCAGTCTACACAACTGGGCCTGTCTGGGAACAGACTACTGGTGCCTCTACTACTGCAGAGACATACACCACACTTCCTGGTATGTCCATCCTTCCCTTAGTGTTTATGATCTGCATTACGTACTTGAAACTTCACTCACTCACTCTCTCCCATAACTTAAATGAATTAAAACCTCTGGTTCTACATGAGTGTCCAGTATTTCTTTGTTATGCTGTAACAGTTGTATTATGGCCTTAATGACAAGAATGCATCTTAAATCTAATTTCTTTGTATGTGACAGTGAAAATACTTAAAATTTACCTTTTCTTGACTCAGATTGATTGTGATACAAAACTAATCTGAAATAGATTTGAATCTGGATCATCCCAGATGTTGTATGATTTTTTTCCAGTTACAGTAGTAAATTTCATTTTTAACCCTACTATTATTTACTAGGTCCTTGCTAGGTGTTATCATTGAATGTGTGGTTTCTATCCCAGTCTGTCCCACTGCCTGCACCTGCACCAGGACCTGTGACGGTGACCTTGACTGTCCCAGCTCCTACAGCGCCGACCTCTGCGCTGTCTGCTCCTGTGCTGAAGGTCGTAGGAACAGCAGCTACTGTGTCGTGCAGGACAGCTGTGACTGTGTGTACGGAGGCATGGACTACAATGTGCCAAGGGTGAGGAGGATATTTATTTACTACTTATCTATTTATTTATTAGCTTGGCTGTTCAGTACAGCCAGGGCAGCTCAACTAGCCTGTTTCTTTGTTCTTTTGTTTGTGGCTATTACAAAGGGCTTGCCCTGCTGACAAAGACATTACAATTAGAGTTTGGCATGGATAGCCTAACAATATTCAACATTATTCTAGGTAGGTAGAAACATTGTCATATGTGTCATCATCAGGGCAATTATTAAAACAGTCATAATTGCCCAGATGAAGATGACTAACAGTCAAAACGTTGGTTCTTGTTAATAAAACAAGTGGTTTTGAGTAAAGAGCTTTGCTTTTTGATACATACAAAAGGTTTAAGTTCTAGTACTGTACTAACACCATTTCTGCTACAAACATTTTCCTAAGCAAATGTTAGTAGAAACATCTGTAATTCTTATTCATCATTGATTGAGTACAATTAATTTTTCAATTTGGTTTAAACTAATATCCTTGTTACATGTCTTCATGTTTACTGTATTTTCCACAGCCCAACAATGTGTGGACGGAGGGCAGCTGTACTGTATGCCGCTGTCTGAACGGGACAAAGGACTGTCACGTCAGCTGTAACATCGACAGCTGTCAGGAGGTGTGTAGGGGCAACACTCACACACTGTTCTACACAATGGAAAATCAGCACCATGGACAGATCCTATCTACAAATTAGAAGCACAAAATGTTTCCTTGTTGATATACTTCCTACAGTTAAATGTGCATGTGCAAAGATTGGGTGTAACAGGTCGTTCAGTATGATATAGCCAGCTTCTGCTGCTACAGATACAGATATAACATAAAAGCTAAATGCATTTTGAATTTCTCTCAATATTGTGCTGGTAGCAGCATTTATAGGGGAGAAAATTACATGTACAAACTGGTGTGGTAAGAGTTTGTCATACCTGGTAACATTCAATATGGTTGTTCAGGCCCGTGTGATCACTAGAAGTACAGCCGGGGGGTCTATTTGGTTGTCTGAAATTGTCAATTTGTTGTTCCAGGGCTACATGCTTGTTGACAATGATGAGGACGAGTGCTGTCGCTGTGTACCAAGCAGTAAGTACAGGACTACTGTATACCCTTATATGTCCGTCCATCTCTATACAATAGGTGCAGTGTAGCACTTCTTGATCTTGATACATTACTGCGTAACACCCCTCAGTTGGGGTCAAACACACAGGGGGGGGGAGTGTGCAGCGCTCTAAATACTTCTCAAGTGTAGCAGAACAGCTTCCTTAAACTTGTTGGCCTCTGGTATTTCTGGTAAGGCCTGCAGAAGCTCATTCCAGTTCAATCTGTAGAGGTGTAGTGTTTATATGAAAGTCTCATGTAAACTACATTGTACATGTACTGCACTTAGCCCACATGTGCAAATAAACATCATTGTTATTGTCATTCTTGAGCTTCGTTTCCTTGTATTTTGCAGAATGTGAATACCAGGGCAAGTACTATGGCTATGGTGAGATGTGGCTGCCTGACACGTGTATGAGCTGCACCTGTACCCAGGATGGAGGGGTCGTGTGTGATAACATGATGCAGCAATGTGACATGGGGTGTGACGTAAGTGCATACTTTCTAACAAAAAAGTTATAAAGTTTCCCTGAAACTATTGGCATTGTCGTTTATGGCAGCACCCATCTCTATTTCTGTAGCCCTTGGGCCTCACAGTTGTGCAATCACTACAGCAGGGAGCTAGTACACAGGTAGTGATGTGTGTTTAGCTACCATGCTCTTTCTCAAATGCTGAGTGCTAAGCAGAGAAAGCAGTATGGACCATTTTTATAATCTTTGGTAAATATGATTCAGCCAATGAGGGATCAAACTCACGACCTACCAAATGCAAGGCGAGCACTCTACCCACTTTGCCATTGCACCAGTTAAACTTTCTGCAATTTGTTTTGAGAGGGGGTGACACTGAATAGACATACTTGACAGGATGACGTTGTATTACAACCCAATAGAATAACAGTGATTGAATTGCTGTAACATCATTTTTTCAGGAGAGCTATGGAACCCTGAAGTACACCGAAGGCCAGTGCTGCCCTGTCTGTGGTGAGTATATTGCATTCTGTGTGTGAAGTTATGATGAAGTTTTGTCTTTTTTTATTTCGTTATTCACAACCACTTTAACAAGAGCCGATGTTTCTATGACAATAATCAAAACTTCAGCTCTTGTTAAACAAGTGATTGTAAATAGTTTATCTACTTGAATAAGATGTTTTTATTGAGGATGCTTGTCAAAGATTCATTTTTTTAAAACTCTATACATGGCAAAGTTGTCTTACATTTGCTGAGTATTAGCTCATGACATGTTGTCTCTCCCAGAGCCCCACCCACCACAAGGCAGCTGCAAACCCACCTACTCCAACACCACTCTGGAACTGGGCGAGTGTGTCTCCACCGCACCTATCCGTAAGTATCTAGATTCTGTAATTTCATATCATCTCACATCCATCCCATAGCCTAGTTGTTCTATTTAATAGCAATGTTTTGGTTGGTGCTAGTTTAGGCTAGGTTTGTACTTTTGGGTTCCAAAAGTACTGTTATAAGAGCTAAGATTTCACTTGATTGACGGGTTGCTGGGTTCAATAATATGGTAACTTCATGTACTACATGTATGTAACATTGTTTAAGAGCAGATTAAGTTTACCACACTATAGTATGAGTGATAAAGCATTCTATGATTTCATTGAGAAGACTGATGCACATAGAAGTCTTCATCCGCAGCAATGGACGGCCAAGATTGATTTTATTAAGGCAAACTATATCTACTTTGCTGGAAGTTTGAAATCTCTTATTTTTGCTTGCATTAGGTATGTCCACCTGTTCCGGTCGCTGTAGCTCCACGGCTCATGTGATGCTGGAGCCCCCCTACCTGGACATGGACTGTTCCTGCTGCAAACCCACACGTGTCCGCAGGTAAACTTTATACCAGTCAAAAAATACTCTGTTATCATCTCTTTCCAACTTAGTACAGCTACAGCATCTCAATAACAGTACTTTATGTTCTTTACTGCTACTGGGGTCCAAGTCAATTTCACATTCACAAAACTGTAACATGGTTCAAACCTTTATGTACAGGTATATTCTTGTAATTGATAGATTACCAACTTGTCTTGTTTATACTCATTTTATTTTTTTTTTACCCATTCTGTTACTATGAATGTATTTTGCCATTGTGTTTTACTCTCATTTGATGTTTTTGATTAGAAGCCATCTTATAAGCTACTATGCTTCTTGCCTGATACTCAATAAATATATGTGCACTAAATAATCTTTTTTTTAATCCACAGGGAGGTCGCCCAACTGTCCTGCGCAGATAACAGCATCATCGAGCAGCCCTACTATGTGATTGAGGCCTGCGGCTGCAAGGGCTGCGATTACGACCCGTTCTCTGCCGCCACCTACACCACCGCGAAGGCCTTCGTGGGGAAATAAGTCGTTGAGATTATGAATTGTTTGATTTGATGGAATTTTGACCACGCGAGTTGCCGGACTGAGATTTGCGATGTTATAGAAAGTAGATGAAATGATGCTAATATATTACAGAGTGTGTTTTCTTTTCTTCTTCATAATTACTTTGAACTTGACTGATAAACTTAAGGTTATACGGAAATGTTTCCCTATAAGTATAACCTCCTTGATAAACTTTAAAGGTGTGGTGATCTGGCTGAGCTTTTCTTTCAGACTTGTAGATGAATAAAATGTGAGAAATAATGAAACAATTCTGTCCGTGTCCTTTTTCTTGTGTCATAATTGGTTAAAGTTATCTTTGCAATGTATACCTACATTGATTATGTAGCTACATAGCTTCTTGAAATTTTCAAGAAAAAATTGCAGCAACAGGGTGATTTTTACATTCTATGGCAAACTAGTTATACCATTCTACAGTTAATAGAACCGTTTTGTTGATAATTATCATTTTTATGAATAATATCGAAAATATCTCAACTGAGTAAGAAACTGTTTTAATTTAATACAATGGTCCGTTAACCCGGGGACGGTCGGCGCGGCACACACCGGGCGTCTCCGGTCACTGCCGCGGGGGGAACTCCATGTTCGCCCGCAGAAAACTCCGCCAAGTCTCGGTCATCCTTCAACCTCAGTTACTGGAGTTTTACAGCAAACTATAACCTTGCTGTACAGCCTAATAGACGACCCAGCAACCACTAGATGCTCAGTAAATAGCATACAATAAGTATATGCAATATAACGCGTAAAACTACCGGTTACGTAACGGGAATTCATACGGGAGACCTCGCCACTAGCCCCCGAGGAAATCCCGCTCCCGACCCGGTGACGGTTTGGTCTCGGATTCGGACAAAGGCGCCCCTACATGCCAAGCCATCGCACAGAATATGTCTGTAGCTGCCTGTGCCACCCAACACTGTACCAATTTGCCCTGTTTTCTTGTTCTAGAGAGTGATTAAATCTTCTGACAAAATCTCTTCCACACTGTTGTTGTTCGTTCGGCGGGATCAACATGGCGCTAGTGCCAAGTGTAACTAGAGGCGAGTTTACGGTGTTGTACAGTTGTGTGGCGCTTATCCGACGTTACATCTGACATCTAGAAAGTCTATAAACTACACAGGCGGTACAATTTAACTTGAAATTACCTTTATTGAGCAATAGCTCCCTGTTTCTGTCCATCCATTGAAGGCCAGCAACCCAATGGTCGCCATTGTTGAACTTCATCTCTGCCGCGTGACAAAAGCGCCGTCTAGCAGCAGACGACAATCACTGCAGTATAAGAAAATCTACAGCAAAAATGCAGCTTACTGATTGGTCAATTTGAAAAAACAATAGCCAATCAGGATATGCAATCGGTTGTTTTATGGAAATCCTAATGTCCGTAGAAACAAGAAAAGTGATTGGCTACTGGGTATGACAGATCAACCAATCAACATCTACCGATTGAAGGGCATGCATGGGGAAGCGAATCTGAATTTTTTTGGTGCTTTCAAGCATGAAAAACCAATAAAATCAAGTTCTATTCTAAAAACTGAAGATATTTGATGAATTCAGATGTAGATATCAGGCTTGTTCTGTCCTATTGAGGAACTTGACACTCATCGGGGCGTCATATTTGGCCATTTTGAAGGCAATGAAGTCGTTCGCGTCCGACACTCGTTAGTTCGCGCCAAACGAGAACCTGACTGGGGGGTAACTTGACGGTCTGAAAGCACCAAGACTTCGCGATGGAAACCGTTTTCGTGTAATTTATGGGACGATAGTGCCTATGATTATTGTAAAGCGTCGCCGGACTTTCTGAATTTTGCGTAAAACGAAGCTGGCCTCCGTGAGATTCGTAGGGAGGGGGGTTAGGACCCCTCCTTACATACTCTTCAATTGGCAGATGCTGATTAGTCAAAAAAATTAATTGCCCATTCCTGATAGGGTAGATTATGTAATGTACGGGATAGTATGCAAGTAACCCGTACGTACCCTCCACGCTCAATGCTGATTGGTCCTTACCGACCAATGGTAAAGCGCAATGATCTTAAACTCCCTCTCTGATTGGTTGATTTGTCACCCCCAGTAGCCAATCACTTTTCTTGTTCCTACGGTCATTAGGATTGCCATAAAACAACAGATTGCATATCCTGATTGGCTATTGCTTTTTCAAATTGACCAATCAGTAAGCTGCAATTTTGCTGTAGATTTTCTTAGGCTGCAATGATTGTCGTCTGCTGCTAGACGGCGCTTTTGTCACGCGACAGAGATGAAGTTCAACAATGGCGACTATTCGGTTGCTCTGACCTTCAATAGATGGAGAGAAACAGGGAGCTATTGCTCAATAAAGGTAATTTCAAGTTAAATTGTGTCGTCTGTGTAGTTTATAGACTTTGTAGATGTCAGATGTAGCGTCGGACAAGCGCCACACAACTGTTAAACGCCGTAAAATCGATTCCGCTATCACCATGTTGATCCCGCCGAAGCAATGTGGAACATGCTTTGTCAGTAGTTCTCAGTCTCTAGAACAAGAAAACACGACGAATAGGGCGAATATTGTGCAGTGTTTGGTGGCACAGGCAGCTACAGACATATTCTGTGCGATGGCTTGGCATGTAGCGGCGCCTTCGACCGAATACAAGCCCAAACCGTCACCGGGTCGGGAGCAGGATTTCCTCGGGGGTTAGTGGCGGGGGCTCCCGAAAGAATTCCGGTTGCGTAGCCCGGGAGATTTACGCGTTATTATTTTGATTTGCATATGATTGTTGTCATGATGTTATGTAGTGAGCATCTGGTGTTTACTTGGTCTTATATTAGGCTTTACAGGTTAAAGGTTTTTGTAAAACTCCAGTAACCGAAGTTGAAGGATGACCGAGACCTGGCGGAGTTTTCTGCGGGCGGACATGGAGTTTCCCCCCGCCGGCAGTGACTGGAGACGCCCGGTGAGTGCCGCGCCGACCGTCCTCGGGTTAACGCTACTGTTATGATACAATCATGAAAATAAAGACCTAATTTGTATAATAAGTGGGCAGGTGGTCGCCATAGACAGGAATTTTAATTTTTGCCGTTTTCCACCCCTGTGTAAAAAATTTCGTTTGGTACAGTCCGTCCATGTGCGCGGAGACATGTAGGTAGTGACACAGTCAGTTCTTCTGGTTCTTATGGAGTTTTTTTGGGGCAAAATTTCCAACTTTTGCCTGGAGTTTATTCTTCTAACATATGCCATGACACGTCGGCATATTTCAACGTTTGATTTACGCCATTGGGGGAGAAAATGCTCATTTCCTGACCGGGTGAACTACATGGAGTTGGAGACAACAAAATGGCGACTCCTAGAGTTCTACAGACGGCGTGGTGTGGGAAGACTATTCAAGGTAAGATATCAAGCTGTTTTGGTCAAGTTTATTTCCAATAAACTGATGTACATGTAAGTTAGCCTTATTCGGTATGATTTGGCGTGGTTCTTAGAATGCTACATGCTTTAATTTAGCTGTTTCTATGACCATTCTACGCTATGTTGAAAATTATACATTTGCCGCTTCGTGCCGTTTTGAACTTCTTGGTGGCGTCTTTGGAGAACACTACATAGTATTTTTCGTGTGCCTCTGAGATCTAGAAAAACTATGGGTTTACGTTGGAGGGAAAACTGTACTGATATAAAAATGCTTTGTTCTAACGCCACGTGGTAAGCGCGGCTCAGCGACCACCTGTTGGAATGTGCCGCACGTGGGCTTTTTGATGTTCCCGCCAAATCGGCGCTCAAACAAGGCTTCCGCCAAGCCAACACTGTATATTACAAGAACGTTTTCATACTTCCAAGTTCCAATCATTGAGTAATATTGAAAAATTCATCTTTCTTATGCACTTTGGTCATCCTGTATTCAATAAACCAATTTCAAATTATATTTTTAACCTCACAAAGAGACGAGAAGAAGCCAAACCTCTGTACTAGAGTAGTTTTAGCGCTAATGTTGCTAGATTAGTATCAGCAGTCCTGTTTGTACTACAAACATGTAGATATGCCAAAAAAAGTTACTCATGCAACTGGATATGATTTTGGAAACAGTCGAACATGAAATGTCATATACCTTTTCATCTGTTCACCTGTACTTAGCCCGATAGGCCATGAATGTACAATAAAGGTTATCCACATTAATCAGAATATTGTGAAAAATGCCAAGACACATGATGAGGTGACTGTTGGTTTATTTTAGTGAATAACTAGCCTAGTACCCACACAATGTTCACTGCTCAATATTTGTAGGATGATGCTGTTTTGTAATATGTTACATCACACTCATGCCAATGTTTATCATCTTGCTTGTTGCATGTACTAATTATCCTGTATGATATATAGAATGGTGCATCCTGATGTTCCTGTCCTGACTGGGGACTTCTGTCCAAACCAGACACGATGAGGGTGCAGAAAACCAGTTGACTTGAAGACAGTGAAGAGTTTGTACAGGTGAGACAATGCTTTTGTTTGTTTTAAGCTTGCATGTTCCTTTTTTCTAAGCTATGTTAAAACTTACAGCTGTAGAACACACATGTGCTTATGTTAACACCTAAGTTTCTAGAGCCATTCAAGCAAATGGAAGTTCCTTTGGTTTTATTGTTATTGTCATTCAGTCATGCCTGGAGATGTCCTTTTTGCCATATACTAATGATCCTTTCCTATAGTTAGGTGTGTCCTGATGTTCCTGTCCTGACTGGGAGAAACCTGTGATGACAGGAGACTTAATTCCAAACCAGATGCGATGAGGGTGCAGAAAACCAGTTGACTTCATGAAGACAGTGAAGAGTTTGTACAGGTGAGACAATTCTTTTAAGCTTGCGAGTTCCTTTTTCTCAGCTATGGTAAAACTAGCGAATGGAAGTTGATTGTATCGTTATGACCATTCAATCTTGCATGGAGATGTCCCTCGTACCATGTACTAATGATCCTTTCCTATAGTTAGGTGTGTCCTGATGTTCCTGTCCTGACTGGAAGAAACCTGTGATGACGGGAGACTTCTTTCTGAACCCCGACACAAGCAGCTGACTTGAAGACAGTGAAGTGAGGAGTTTGTAGAGGTGAGACAATGCTTGCAAGCTTACATTTTCTAGCCAGGCCAATTGATGTTTTCAATACTGAGTTTTGTTTCTTTGTTTTCCAGACCCATGTTTTCCAGATGTGGGTCCGGAGACTGGACTGTTGCAGGAGGAAGAACCTGGCTTTTATCGGCAGAGCTGTGTGAAAGAGGATGGGGAGGTGTGAG